AAAAAAAGAAATAATTAGCACAAATATGAAGAAAAGAGAAAGGCCACATGATACAAAAACTGTGAAGCCTGAGCCTCTTTTGAACACCAAAGAAGATGCTTGCTAACGGTGACAAGAGAGCCAGCTTGCAAGCCCACTCTCTTTGCTCCAGTAAACTCAACAACCCTCCATCCCACTTTTGAAGATGAATGAGAACACACTGCAGAGAGGAGGCCATAACCACACACAGGAGAGAGTGCCACACATGGGCACTTCCATGGCCTCCCTTTGCCCCCATAACAGCGTTCATGCCGGGAATGTGCTGTGCTCAGGGTGGCTCACAGCAGCACCCTCTGCCACGCAAGGCCAGGAAAACTTAACAATTGTCTCCCCTCCCACCCCAAGCTGGAGAGCTCCCTCTGTTAATTATGTCCCTGGCCACAAGAAGCAAATGTATCCAACTGTCTTATTGTTTGCCTGAAGACATCCTTTTCTCATTCCATATGAATTGAGTATCTGTAATGTAAAAACAAGAGAGCAAATATATAGTTGGTGTGAATAGACTTATTCTGAAGAGGAAAAAAAAAAAAAAGAATGCTGAATGCCTATGAGCCAGATTTGAGGCAATGACTTCAGTGTCTAACAGAGCAATTTTCTCAGCAGGAAGGGAAATAACGGGAAGACAGGAGGAACAGAAGTGCAGGCAGGATGTCTGAATCACTCGGAGGACTCAATGTGAAAAGAGATGGGGATTGTGCTTTACTTCAGTGGGTTATACTTTCTCTAGCATCTTCCTTCCATATCCTTCTTCCAGCTCTTTTTAGGTCCAGTGATCACTCTGAAATATCCTGTGCTCTGGTTTTCTCTTCTGGAACACCCTCCCCCCGCCACCTCCCTCCCCCCGACCCAGTTCTATCCTAGTTAACTCCTGTGCACAAGGCACAGAGCTGAGAACTGGAATAGAATGCAAAGGTGAGTCACACACCATTCTTTCCTCCAAGGAGCTTGTGACCCACTGGAGGGATAAGTCAATTACATAATAAACCACAGTGCAAAGTCCACTAAGGTAAGAGCCAGAGGAAGTAAAAATAAGTGAAACACAAGTAGGCTTAACACAGGAAGAGAGAATAGCCAGCTGGATGTCAGGTAAGGCTTTATCTGGGAAGTGATCTTAGAGATAAGCCTTGAAGGATAGAATTTCGACAGGGGAACTCCCCAGTGACTGGGGAGACCACACCAGCAAAGGCACAAAGGAACTGATGCAAAAATGTGAGGCAGGGTGAGGAGATGGTGAAATCTAGGATAAATAGATCCAGGTGATGACTGGCATTGATTTAAGAAATGAGAAACAGTTCAAAGTTATTAAAGAGAACAGTGCTATGATCATGGTCATTAATTAGAAAGGTTGTGGTTTTAGTGATGTGGATGACCAGAGAGGGGAAGGCCACAACAGTGACCACACTGAGTTCTCCAGTACCAATGACATAAATCTATAAAAGCAACATGAAGTTTCTTCCTGTTTTTCTATCACTTTATTAATACACCCACAAAGAGCTGGAGTCACAAACACACACACGCAGCTGAGTTTCAGCAAATTTGGAGGACATTTTGGGGAATAGTCAACATAAGGAATAAGAAGTCAACATGGAAGGACTTTGGGAAACTCTAGAAGGTACCTTACAAAGATAAGCAGTCATCCTCCAAGGACAATAAATAAAGTTCTACGATTGTTGGTTTGAGAGGAGACACACCATAAGATGTTGAGAACAGAGAAAACAAACAGGGGTTCAAAG